ATTGGTTGAATGAGGTTTTCACGGTTTTTACAAATTGAGTGGTTTTTATTTGAACACTCCCCTATATATATATATTCTCTCATTTCATTTCCATTCTTTTTCTTCTTTTCTACCCAAATTCAAGAACACGACATAATCATGTATATATATATATATATATATATATATATATATATATTAAAAGAAGAACCAAGAGTATTGAGGTGACATAATGAGAATTAAGTATTGAGGTGTTGATGAATTGTGGTTGAGTTTGAGGTATCCCATATTGGAGAGAAATTGAAAGATTGAAATAAGGTGTGTATAAGAAAGAATGATGAGAGTCATTGTTTTAACTTATGAGACTTGACTCATAAGACTATCTTATTTGGATGACCCTATCTTTTTAAAACAAATTTTATATTGTGTCAACTCATTAGGTTTGAGTCATAAGGTTATCTTATTTGGATGACCCTATTTTTTCAATACAAATCTTATTTTATATATATTAAAAGAAGAACCAAGTGGTAATTAGGTGCATCATGAGAATTAAGTATTGAAGTGTTGGTGAATTGTAATTGAGTTTAAGATATCCACTTTGATGAAAGATTGAAGATTAGAATAAAGAGACGTGTATAAAAAATGATGAAATTCATTGCATCAACTCAAGAGGCTTAACTTATAAAGTTAACTTATTTTGATGACTCTTTTTTGCAAAACAAAGCTTATTTTTAAAAAAATAAATCGTGTTTACGTGAGACCAAGGGTTTTTCGTGAGACACGTAAGACCAATTTATGTTCATTGATCAAATTTATGAATTAATGATCTAATGGTTGCAAAGTTGCAAGGTGGCAATTTCGTAATTAGTGAGAAGTCTCGTGGCGTTTATAAATGTTCAGATCTGACGATTGTAAATCTAATCCAAGGGTTAAGAATTGGTCTTACGGGTCTCACGAAAAACCATTGGTCTCACATGATCCCAAGTCTATATATATATATATATATATGTGTGTGTGTGTGTGTGTGTGTGTATGTATATGTATCAATCTTCTTTATATATAAAAGTAAGATCCACAAGAAATGATGTGGCACCTAAGAATTGAGTATTCTATATTTATTGCATAGAGATTGAGTTTTGTGTATCCCACATTGATGGAGAGATGAAATATTGACAATTGATGGCAGGTATATGAAATAAGGTTGATGTGTTTTTGTTTTAACTCATGGGGTTTGATTCTCTTGGCTAATCCTATAAACTCACTCATTAGCTCATGTTGGCTACCCCTCTAAACTCATGGGCTTGGTTCATTTTGATCAACCCTTTATTTGCAAAAAAGTCATTTTTATAAAAAATATATATAAGGTTATCTCTGTATATAAGTAAGATTCACAATAAATGATATGTCACCCTAAGGATTGAGTATTATATATTTCTTTCATTGAGGTTGAGTTTGTATATCCCACATTGATGGATGGAGATATGAAAGATCGACAATTGATGGTAGGTATATAAGAGGAGGTTGATGTGTCTTTATTTTAACTCACGAGGTTGGGTTCTCTTGGTTAATCCTATAAATTCATATCATTGTTTCATGTTGGCTAATCCTCTAAACTCATGGGGTTTGTTCATTTTGACGAACCCTCTATTTGCAAAAAAGTTGTCTATATAAAAAAATCAATATATCAATACAAAAGAAAGCTATAAAATAATAAGGTGACATCTTTAAAATCAAATATTTTAAATTTATTGCATTGTGGTTGGATTTTGGGTATCTACATTGATTAGAAATTGATACGTCAATGAGAAAAATGAGTATATAAGAGAAATATGAGTTCCCTTTGAAATTAAAAGGTTCATTTGGCTATATAAGTTATGTTTATCTTTAAATGTTTGGAGCAATTGTCTAAATTCACGAACAATTGTCTAAACTCGAGTGGTTGGATCATTTTGACTGAACTTTTAAACATATACGGTTGACTCATTTTGACCAACCCTTTTTTTTATGAAAAAAATAAAAATCAATAATAAATATTAATTGAAAAGATAATTTTAATATGTTTTTGAAAGTAAGAAGCGGAATCGTTGTTGCGGCACCCTAATAATTGAATATTCTTCAATCTTGAATTGTGATTAAGTTTTATATATCCCACACTGATTGAGAGTTGAAAGATTGACAAAAATGTTGGATATGTAAAATGAGGTCGAGATGCTTTTGTGACAACTCATGAGGTTGGTTCATCTTGGTTGATTCTCTTAACACCTGTGGTTAGAACATTTTGGCCGACTCTCCGAACACATGGGTTGGTTCATTCCAACTCTCTTTTTGCAAGAAGGTTTAATCAATATTTAAAAATTATATATATATATATATATATATATATACATAATCTTTATTCTTTTTATATTTAAAAGTAAGAATCACAACCATCAATGTGACACCCTAAGATGAGTATTCTTTAATTTTGAATTATGATTGAGTTTTTTCTATCTCATATTGATAGGTAGATAAAAGATTGACACTAAATAATAGATATATAAAGGAAGATTGAGATGTTTTTGTGGCAATTCATAGGGCTGACTTCTTTGAATGATTCTCTAAACTCATGATGCTTAACTTATTTGGCTGACCCTCCTAACATAGGATTTTTGGTTAATCCTCTTTTTACAAAAAAAAAAAAAAATCTATAATTAAGGTTGAATAAATTGAGTGATTAAATTAATATATAATGCTATAAGATATTGATATGACAAATTAGAATTATTTTCAAATCATGAATTGTGATTGAATTTGATTTGAATCTTAATCTATATTAACGTGAAAAGAAATTACTGAAAAACAGTTAAATATATGAAACGAGAAGAGATGCCTTGAAATATTGGAAGAGTTACAAATTCACTATGAAAATTTAGTATTTTTAATTTTGAAGTATAAGGATATTGATGTGACTTACAATTTTTTGTATATTACTTGATATGTGTTATGATTACCGTGCAACGGACGATACCAAGCACCAGTTACGTTGTAAAAAAAAATAATCTAAAATGCTTATTATTTTTTTTATTAAAGAAGGATTCTATAAATGACTTAATAGTGAATAGGGTGCGTTCTACCAAACCACATGGAGATGTCATTGGCGCCGCAGGTAGACTAGAGCCTCGAAGCAGAGGATTATAAACTCCCCCAAAACCCTAACTCTCCTGTGTTGCCTTTTTCTTAACCTCCCAAAACCCTAAACAACACAACCCACTTCCTGTCTTCTTTCCAACAGATTCTCTCTCCGACGAGACCAAGAACCATTGCAGGTTTCTAAAATGGTGGCCGACAAGGGTAAGAAACCCAAGATCGGAGAGAAAATCGTCGAGGAGAACGCGGAGCAAATCGACGGTGAGCTTGTTTTATCCATTGAAAAGTTGCAGGAGGTCCAAGATGAACTTGAAAAGGTACTTGCTGTTTATCGATTTTTTATGTTATTAGTTTTGAAAAAAATCTGCAACATTCTTGCTCAGTAATTGGAATCCTTAAAGATACATGGCAGTTCGTCTTTAGTTATTCAATTTTCTTATGTACATTCATCAGAAATTTGACACTTTTAAACTCAATTTTGTGTTTTGATTATTCAATTGACTTAATGAAGTTTTATATAATTGGGAGAATCCTTGATGCATAAGTTCCCCCTTTTTGCTATCTGATGAATCTTTCTTGTTAAAAGGGTGGCTTTTATCCCCTGAAAAGCTATTTGGATTGCTTGCTGCCTCTGTGGGGCCAGAGTTCTGGTTTGTTTGTGAATTTAATTTAATGGGTTTGAGTACTCTCTACATTATAAGGGTGGATGTTGTCACTTTTGTGGGATGTGGTCACAAAGTAGCATGTTAGTCAAGTCTTACTAAGAAAATATCTCAGTTTGGGGGTTAGGTTTGTTTATAGAGCTGTATACTGGTCCCCTGCTGCAGAACTGGAAACAGAGTCTATGTTATTCTCCAATGTGTACTTTGATATTTTCAAAAAGTGTTTGAAGGATTCAATCTTAAATGAAAAAGATTAAGTTGCCCCTCTTAATCGTTGAATGAATATGGTGAATTCGGAACCCATTTTGTATTTCATTGTGTTAGTTATTGGGATTGATTAGAATAAAAGTTTATCAATTGTTGTCATTTTATCTCAGATCAACGAGGAGGCAAGTGATAAAGTCTTGGAAGTGGAACAGAAATACAATGAGGTCCGGAAGCCGGTGTATGATAAGCGTAGTGATATCATCAAATCGATTCCTGATTTTTGGCTGACTGCTGTGAGTGATCCGTCTCAATCAACGTGGACTATTGCAAAGTCATTTTTGAACACAAATCTAATCTCTTCTTGTTGATGCAGTTCTTGAGTCACCCGGTTCTTTCTGATCTTCTGAGTGAAGAAGACCAAAAGGTTGGACCTTTAACTCATTTAAAGAAATATATATGTTTTAAAAACTGCAATACAGATAATCTTCCTATTCCCTTTATGATTTTTCTGCTAATCTGTTAATAAGAGATAATATTGTTAAAATTGGTGGTTTTTAGATCTTCAAGCATCTGACCTCTCTGGAAGTGGAAGATTGCAAAGATGTGAAGTTGGGTTACTCGATCTCATTTGTGAGTAAAGATCCAATTTTTTTTGTAAATTGAGAAGAGATATCCAGTGGCTTACCTTTGTTTTGGATACATTTTCATATGGCTTATTATGCTTCTTTTTTCAGAACTTCAGTCCCAACCCATATTTTGAAGACACAAAACTCACCAAGACTTTTACCTTCCTTGACGAGGGTACAACAAAAATTACGGCTACCTCAATAAAGTGGAAAGAGGGCATGGTAACTTTTATTTTTTTACTTTTCTTGCTCATATGCTAAGCAACAAGTGTTTTTGTAGCTTGACCCTGATCTTAATTGCATACTTTTTAAAGGGTGTTCCTAATGGGGTTGCCCACGACCACCATGACCACAAGAAGAAAGGAAACAAGCGATGCCATGAGGAGGATAGGTTATTAACATTCATGTGTTTGTTTATAGTTTTTGCCACCATGTTTCTTACTTACTTTGCATATATATATTCTTGGATATCTTGATGCAGCTTCTTTTGCTGGTTCAGTGGGACTCAACAGAAAGATGTGATGGATGAAATTCATGATGAAGTATGCTTGTTGTTTATGAATTGATCGAATTTAACCTTTAATCATCCAACTGTTACAATGATTTCCTTTTCACCGTGTCTGTTTTACAGGTTGCCGAAATAATTAGGGAGGATTTGTGGACCAATCCTCTTACATATTTCAACAATGTAGCCTCTCTTTTTACCTTTTTACTTTTATTTTGAGTTTATTGTGATCAGTGGAGGTTATGTCAGCTTGATCTTTTTGTTTATTGATTATATTTTGCACAATTTATTTGTTCAAGGAGGCTGATGAAGAAGATGGTGATGAAGGCGATGAAGAGGTAAAAAAGGCCTTCCTTCTTTCTCTTCCTCTCTTTTTGCACAACCACCTTTATCATTCCAGCGAGATATGCTGGGATTATTTAGTTTGTATAGTGGAATCATATTTTTTATAATCGTTCTCCTTCAATATAGAGTTTATCATTACTATGAACTGAAACGGATACTTAGGACCAAAAGCAAATTTGATCACCTTGCACGATTTAATTATCTCGTCTGTGATCAAAAGATTATGTCTAAAGACATTCATCCTGAATCATCAAAAGTGGATGAGCCTTTGTTGACTTGATTAGATCTCATGTTAATTGCATTTCCTTTTGTTGATAATCAACCGTTGGGAACCTAAAATTGATTAGAAACCTGGGAGCCTTCCACAGCGTGACACATGACACATTCATCAGGAATATGAGCGGGTCATTCATCATGAATGTGTTATTCATGATGATGAATCATGTATAGGGATATGTGGTGGCAGTTTCCAGGTTCCTACTCATTTTTGAGTTCCTAACTGAACTTCCCTCTATGTATGTATGTATGTAATTGGCAAACGAATTTTTGATTGCTTTTATGGATACATGAGCAGTTGGTTTTGGTGTTTAACAGGAAAATGGCACAGATGACTCTGAAGAAGATGATGAGGATCAAGAAGATGATGATGAGGATGAAGGGAACTGAATGAGTTTGTGTAAAGTGGTTGGAAAAGTTCATGTTTAGAGGCTAGATGTTTTATCTATAACTGTGTGGACGTAAAAGGCGGAACTTTTTCCGTTCAAAGATCTATAGTTGTTCATTTTGCAGTTTTTCTGGGAACTACAATTGATCATCAAAGCAAAAAAAGGAAAGTTTCCTGAATCTAAAAGCGTTTGTTTTGCCTGTGATGATATCAAGTCTGATGGGAACCTTTTGGTAGGTTATATGCTTGAAATTTGGTCATTTGCTGCACCACCAAGTTTGTTTTTCCTGTGGTACAAGTTTATGATGGAAAGTTTGTGTGTTAGGGTGTGTTTGGGATGAGATAGGTGAGTGAAAGAATTGTGTACGGTTTTAGAGTTTTAATTTGGGATAATTTGACATGGGTAATTTAGTAATTTTTGTTTTGCCTTTTTGATGTTTATTCTGCCTATTTTGGTGAGAGAGAAAATATATTTTTATCCTACCATGTTCTAGTTTAATGTTTCGTCAAACATGAGATAACAAGCCTTAGTTGCGTAGGGGTTATAGGTAGTTAACAATTTATAGGCGTCCTAAGTGCATCCAAGGGGATTTTCACTTTTTATATTTATAAAATGTAATTTTATTTATAGATTATTATATAAATTATATATATTATAAAGTTAAACAAAAATTTAAATATAATTTATTAATTTACATTTTTCTGTATT